AAGGTGTGTGCCACCATCGCCCAGCCACAGGCTTTTCTTGATACATCAAATATCTAAACTGGGGCCTGAAGAAATGGCTCAGCAGTTAAGAGTGTGTACTGCTCTTGCAGAGGACTCTGGTTCAGTTCCCAGTACATCTGGCAGCTCATAAGCACCTGTAACTCCAGATCTAGGAGGATCCTACATTTCTGGCCTCTGAGGGCAGCATGTGCGTGCGCGCGTGCACACGTGCGTGCGCGCGCTTTAATAAAAAGAAATAATTTAAAAGATCTGAGCCCAGCACAGTGAGCTCATTGTCTCGGGTGGGCTAGAACTTGGCTGTCACTTTAGTAGCCATCATTCCTGGTGCCGTGTCCCATTTCCCACTGTGGGCCTTTATTGCTAATGTCTCCTACACCCCTCTCCCATTCACTTCTGGCTTCATGCAACCCCACAAACCCATGTCCTTGATTTGCCTAGGTTGTCCCCTGCCCTGGCTGACCCCTGCCCTGGCTGACCCCTGCCCTGGCTGACCCCTGCCCTGGCTGTCCCTGCCCTGTACACATGCACACACATCTGCACCCATATGCCCTGCCTGCTCCTCTGGTTGGTCACACTGAGGCTGCTTGTCCATTCTGTGCACAGCACTCAGCCTCAGTACACAGGCCACATGCAAGTCCCTTCCTGTACCTCCCCTACCCTTCCTGCTCGCAAAGCTGGTGCTCAGGTTGAGGTTATATCCCCAGACCGGCTTTGAGGTGCAATCGGGACATGAAGCACAGGCATGAGACCTGTGGTAAGAAGGTGACGCTGTGAGCCTGGGTCCCTTTCTAAGGGGCCCCTGGGGAAAATGGCTGCTGCCGAGAAAGCCTCCAGGAAGTCAAAGAGCCATCAGTGGGAACTGAGAAGGGGTTGGGGCGGTCATGAGGGAAGGCCACAGACAACTGAGGCCGGGAGGGTGTGCCGTGCCAAAGCCAGGAGCCATTGCTTGGAGCCACTGCTCAGAAGCATGCCAGGGAGATAGCCGGCATTAGTGAGCCAGGGAAGATGCCTAGAGGCCACTGGCAACCTAGAGAAAGGGGAAGAATATTAGAGCTAGAAGGCATGGATGCCACTCAAGGCTTCAGGGGCAAACTTGAGGAGGGGAGGGGAGGGAGCGGCATGGTTGCTGAGGGTTTGCACGTGCTTGCTTGCACACACTACCTGAGGGTTTACACGTGCTTGCACACACTACCTGAGGGTTTACA